CCGTAAGAGAGATCAGAGAGATGAAAGAGGAAAACCATGGCCACCTTACCTCTCAGCATAGAGATCGAGTTCCAATTTCCTCCCACCTTATCACTTCCTCTCTTCACTCAGCCATGTCGGTCACTTCCTGTCTGTTTGTACAGACCTCCAGACCTCTGTGGTGAGCTAATGGCTGCCCCTGCCCTCTGATCTTCAGGCGAGCTTTATTTGTACAAACAAGATACCATCATATTGGACTTCTATCCTCTGTGACTGAAAGAAGGTGTGTTTGGTTTCTTGTTTGTAAAAGAGAATTGCACTGACCCGTGACATGTTTAATAAAGTGTTTTCCAAAGTTCCTATAAGGAGGGGTTAAGATCTTGACTTGGGATGTAAGTGGGGGCTAGTCCTCTACCAGCTATGAAGCTGGCACGGGGGCTACCATCCCCAGCAAGAGGAGAAAAGAAGCAAGGAATCATGCTTTTTAAAAAGGGGATACATTTAAAGATTTCTACTTATAGTTTTCAGAAAAATTAAACGTAATTTGTGTTGATATGAAATGTCAGACATGACATTAACACAATAAGTACGTGCTCATTTGGGAAGTTGGTCAGCAGAAACAGGGCAGAAACGATTATACAAAGGAGAAGGAGAAAATCTATATGGGCAGGGCCAGGAATAACTGAGGTACATTTTAGGGATACAAAATGCACTAGTGGCTCTCGTAACACTGTTAAGCAATGGAGTCGGTGATCTTGAGTGAGTGACTTCTCTCTTCGTTTGTTCTTCTGAATGAACAAAGGAATAGTTTAGAAGAGATGATGTCTGAATTATAGGTAAGCTCTAACATATTGAAAACTTTTATAAGAAATCGTATTTGTCTTAGTTGGTGTGATCAATCATCACGACCAAAAGCACACTGGAGAGAAAAGGTTCCTTTCACTCAGAGTTCCATGTAACAACAGTTCACCGTCAACAGCAGTGAGGGCAGGACAGGAACCCGGAGGCGGGAGCTGATGCAGAGGCCACGAGGGTTGCTTCTTATTGGCTTGCTCCTCAAGGTTTGCTCAGCCTGCTTCCTTATAGAACCCAGGACCACCAGCCCAGGGGACTGAACCCTCCCCCATTGATCAATAATCAAGAAAATATCCTACAAGTTTGTGTACAGCCCAATCTTATGGAGGCATTTTCTTGACGAAGGCTCCCTCCTCTCGGATGACTTTGCCTTGTGCCAAGCTGACGTAAAACTATTGCAACACAGCGCTCATTTAAAAAGGTGTTGAAGTTTCTAGTTTACAACTCCATCACAAGGTGAACATGCCCGGGGCGCTATAACCACACTGAGAAATCGAACTTAACACCATCTTCTCAGAGCAGAATCTCCTCACATCTCTCTGCTAATACAATAAATTACAGGTTATTTCCAGCTGCCTTTAAACTCGACATGAGTGAAGTAGTAGAGAATCTGCTACTTTTATGTCTGCTACCACCATTAGTTCATCCAGGCAATTCATTTATTACCCTTGGTTTATAAGCTCCCAATAAATGAGTAAGGCATAATTTCTCTCTCTCCTCTACTGTTCATGCGGAATAGCTAGCAATCTGAGGCTATTAAAATATTAAAAATCATTCTGGTACATAAGGTCGTGAAGGGGTCTTTTGGTTAATGGATGGATTCTTTAAAACGGTGAAACACCTAAGAGCAGAGTGTTCGTGGATTTGCTCAGAGTTTGGCCGGAGAGGTGGCACGGCAGTTAAGAGCACTCGTGAGTTGACTCCTGCAGAGGGCCTGAGTTCTGTTACTACCGCCTGTGTCGGATGGCTTATCGTCGCCTGTGACTCCAGCTTCAGGGCATCCAGCGCCCTCTTCTGGCCTCTGTAGGCATTAACACACACGTGGCTCACATGTGCATACACACACACAGATAAATACAAATAAAAATAAATCTTGGATAGGTTCCATAGTGAAACTTCTATAATGTTGTGTCTAGAGGTCTCACATAGCTTCCATTAGCTTTATGTCTAGGCACTTTACCTTCTGCGCTAATATGTATGCTGCTGTTTGAATTCTTAGCTATTTATATGGAACAACAAACTATGTATACACATCGCTTTTGCACCCAAATTCCTTTATCATTTTAATCATTTACCAACAAGGGTTTGGGGAGGATTTTAAATGATCTGGCTTGGCTCTAGTAGATATAACAAACATATTTGTATATTCTTGATACAGGAGGAACAACTTAGTATTTCACAATTATAATACTTTGTGTCTGTGTTGTCTGTTGCCTCATCAGAGTAACTTGGATTTCACCTTGTTGTTAAAACTATTATGTCTTTAAAATATTGATATTTATAGCACTCTTTTTCCTTACTTTTTGGGATGACATTATTTTTTATTTAGTAACTCTTTTTAGAAAACAAATATCAAGGTCCACATCTTCATTTCATCTTGTATTTCTGAGGACAATTTGGTGCGGTTATGATCACACTTCTGGGGCACAGAGTTGGAATGACTTTTATGCAATTTCTGTTTATGATACATTCCAACTCCAGAATTTAACTTTCTGTCCTTTATTTTCTTCACAGTCTCCAATAAAATTAGCTCTCAATAAGTCAAGATTCCTCAGTCTCCTGTGATCCAGTTTGGCCTTGATGCAACTTTTTGTATTGTTTTTTTTTTTTTTTCCAAAGCACTCTCCTGCTCAAACCACACACTAACAGTGTTATTGATGGGTGTGGAATGTGGAGAGCAAGTATTAGATTAGATATTACAGAACCACACAACACATCCTTCTGTGGCCCAGTATGGAATGTTTCTCCAAGATTTATGTGCTGACATCTTGGTCTCTGGTTGGAGACCATTAAGTAGGACTCTTAAGAAGTGGAATCTTCATGCCTGCCACTGGGGTCATATTGATCCCGGTGGCCTGTGCTGCCACCAGGCCCATGGTGACATCCAGGTCTGAGCAGCTGCCAAGGGCCATGTCTGGGTCCCTGGTTCTCCTGCAGCTGGGGTCTGTGATGATGTCCTTGGCTTGTTAGCACAGGGGTTATTGGAACCATGCTGCGCTGAGCCAACCCCACCCTTCACTGACTCTGGGGTAGTTGGCCCTGCCCCTGCTTAGATACTGCTGCAGGAAAGCTGGCTCCGCCCCTCAGAGGAGAGCTGCCCCCTGCCTTTGGGAACGATGGCCCCACCCCTTATAGCACACTAAGCTGACTTTGTGGTTGGGGGGCACAGATGAGCTAACCCTGAGGGTATGAGAGCAAGAGAGCTGAAGCTGTCCCTTTGTCTGCCATGTGATAGCAAGGGTGAGGGAAAGTTGCTCTGCCCTCTCTCCCCCTTGCTATCTGTGGCAGGCAAGACAGCTGACCCTGGGGTCATGAGAGTGAGAGAACTGGCCCTGCCCTTCACCAGCTGCACACAGGAGAGCAGGCCCTGCACTCTGCCTGGTTAGCACACTAGAGCTGACCCTATTGTTTGGGTGCACAGAGGAGCCAGCTGTGAGAGCATGAGAGTGGGGGGGGGGCTGAACCCAGTCATTCTCCTTCATAGACCACCAACAGCAGTCAGGAGAGAGGGTAGGCCCTGTACCTCACCTGGGAAAAACAGTAGAGCAGGCCCTGGTGATGTGAGTGTGGGTGACCTGAATCTGAGGGCCTGAGAGAGGAGAACTGGCCTGCTCCTTGCTATAGGCAGCATTGGATGAGCTAGCTGAAGTGGTTCTGGAAATATAGACCAGGCAGAGATGGTGAGGGGGAAAAGCTGGGGGGCTGACCAACCCAGCTACCACACAGGCCCAGAATCAGGGCTATGAGTCGGCCCACACCAACATCCACCTCATCTAAAAACTGTTGGAGTAGGTGAAGGAGATGACCCTACATATCCTAAACAGCAGGATCTCCATGACACAGGACAACAGGATACTCAAGGGAAGCCCCAGCCAGAGCTCGTTATTGGTGGCTGGCGTAGCAGAAGCCAAAGATCTCAAGCCAGCCCAATGATTCATGGCATGGACACTTACAAGTAAAAATGAATGGACTAGAGGGTAAACTGTGTGACTCAATGGGCCACACTACAGCTTCTACCACAGATTTCTCTGTCTTTCTGTCTCTGTCTCTGCTCTGTCTCTGTCTCTGTCTCTGTCTCTGTCTCTGTCTCTGTGTGTGTGTGTGTGTGTGTGTGTGTGTGTATGTGTGTTTTGTTTGGTTTTGGATTTTTTCTTTCAAATTTGGTTAGTTTTGGGGGAAAGTTTGCAAGGGCAGAGGGCGGATGTGAGACAATGGGAGGTAGGTGGGATGAAAATGAAGGATTTAAAACCCACAAAGACAATAAAAAAAGAAGTGGGTCTTGTGAAAAATAATTAGACGTGGTGATTGGCCCTCATGAATGGATTCATGTTTGGAGGAAGATATAAGTGGAAGTACCATGAGATGTTATTCCAGATGACAGTGAATAAGGAGTTTTGTTGGCTCTGAACATGTTATGAGGGTACTGAGGGACTGTGCACTGATGATGGAACTGGAAGACATTCAGAATATAAGCTTTTCTGGAGGAAATGCTGTTGGAGCACATAGTTACCCAGGAAAAGATGAAACAGCAGCCAGACAGTTTTCAAAAGCACATGCAGATTTATTTAGAATACTTGGAATCCAGAAGACAATTTAAAGCGAGCCCAATAGTGAAGAGAATAGGAATACCCAGGTAAATGAAAGAATTCATCACCGCCCAGGATTAATAAAAAAGAATGAAGCTTTGATTTACTCAAGTTGCTTGGAGAGATAGAATAAATATTCTTTTCTGAATGTGAGAACATAACTCAAGGTCAAGAGAAGATCAAATAGACCAGAAGGTTAAGTACTGAGCAATGAGAAGAACAGGCTTTCTCAAGTCCACACCCGCAATCATGTGCAACAAGACAACCTACTAATAGTTAGTGATGGCAAAGCATTCAGAGTGAAATTGTTGGAGGATTTTGGTTAGACAATGGCAAGTTAGCATGTGACTAAAGATAGAATCAGCAGCTACAGGGCTCACAGCAGCTAGATCCACAGCCCTGGGACAGGCAGCCAGGCACACAGACACATGTGGGCTGGTAGCAAGTCCTGGTGACGGTCACAGGTCCAGAGCAAGCTGGCTGGCAGCACAGCTCAGGGCAACAGGGCTGGCAGCAGGGCTTGAGGCAGCAGCTGGGCTTGCAGCAGCTGGGCTGGCAGCAGGGCTGGCAGCAGCTGGAAATACAGCACCTGGGCTGACAGCAGCTGGACTCACAGCAACTGGGCTGGCAGCAGCTGGGCTGGCAGCAGCTGGGCTGGCAGCAGGGCTGGCAGCAGCTGGACACACAGCAGCAGGGCTGGCAGCAGGGTGTGCTGCAGCAGCTGCTCACACAGCTTGGCTGGAAGCAGGTCCTACAGCAGCTGGGCTGGCAGCAAGGCTGGCAACAGCTGGACTCACAGCAGCTGGGCTGGCAGCAGGGCTGGCAGCAGCTGCTCACACAGCTTGGTCTCCAGCAGGTGGTTCTGCAGCAGGTGGTCCTGCAGCAGGAAGGCTGGCAGCAAGGGGAACAGCAGGAGCTGGTCATGGTGTTGGATTCGGAGGTTCTGTTCACATGGGTTCCTGAGATTCTGACAGCTGTTTCAGTCCTGGGGCTTTTATACCCTGGACATGTCATGAAGGGACCAATAAGCAGGACTTTTCCTTGTTGTTTGTTTTCTACTGTTCAAGAGGAAATTCTCACAGAAGGAAGTACTCCTTGAGTTTAAGAAATCTTTTGAAATTATGCTGCAAGCAGTTAATTGTGGGTAATTCAAGGAAGGTAATTTCTAGAAGTCATCAGCAGCATTGTTTCTGCTCAGATCATTATTTGCTCAGGTGATCGCTGCTGCAGCCACAGGAGGGGCTGAAACACGCCCTTCTTCAAGTTGTTTTCCTGTTTCCTTGGCTGTATGCAGACTACGATGTGTTTGTAGGGAGAGCTACATTCACAGTGACTAAATGAAGCCATGCCTGTATCCAGGATTTTTTCCCAGAGATGTGTGCTTGTTATACACTACAACAGGTGAGCCCATTTGCAGCAAGGGTTACCAATGCTCAGTTGGATCAACGAACCCATGGAAAGATGGTAGCTTGTAGTCTCTTCTCCAAGGCACCCATGAGCACCAAAGCCAGAATTCAAAATCAGAGGAAGATGTGGGGCTCAGAAGACCTCAGACAAGCTAGATCTGGAACCTGTTCACTTGGAGGATAATGAGGAAATTAAACACTGTAACTAGACAGCTGCATTTTAAAGTAAACTGAATCATAATATACTTTCAGAGATGGGCCTACCCTGCAGTTTGGTGAGATATGAGAAATGGTGTGTCTGACCATCATATCAAGTGTCAGTGTGTGCATGTTTAGTAGCTGTTTTTGATTTTATAATTGCTATCATTGCCCTGCTATCTAAGGCAACTAGTGTATGGTTTTGGCTCTCACCGTGTGTCAATTTTTGAGTTTTATCAAACATGAAATCACTTAACTCATATGGTTCCTTTTCTTTTGCTCCAAATTATATTTGTGAGATTTAATGACTTTGTTAGATTCAGTAGTCATTTCACTTTAATTTTTCTCAATAATTTCACATATTTGTATGGTAAGACTACACTCTGTTAATGCTCATTGCGTGACAAGACCTTAATGTTTTAATTTATGTGTCTTTGATGGACATTTTCTCATTATTAAGACTTTTGAGAATCATACTCTTATGATGATTTATTTTTAATCTACGAATTTGTGGATGTTTGTAGATATATTCTTTGATGGGAAATTTTGGATTCCAAATTGTAGGTATAATAAACATCAGTACCCAGTTCCAAATGGTTTTTAAAAACTCAGCTGCACGTGTTGGGCAGATAGTTCAGCTGGTAAAGGGCTTGCCGTGCAAGCCTGAGAACCTGAGTTTGATCCCCAGAACCCTTGTAAAAACTGCCGAGCAAAGTGACATGTGCTTGTAATTCCAGCATCATAGAGGAAGGTCCGGACAGATCCCCAGGGTTTTCTGGCCAGGCAGACTAACCTCATCAACAAGTTCCAGGTCAGTGTGAGACCAGCTCAAACACAAGGTGAATGGCTCCCTGCGGAATCCCTGAGGTTGTCCATGTGTACACAGATGTATTCACACCTGCATACATGTGCGTACTCATACAGACACAAACACAAACACACATGCGCACACTCAAGGTTGCAATGATATACACAGTACACAACTGATTATTCACATTGCTTTAGGTATCATCTACACTTGATACTTTCAGTCTGGGCTTTTGGGAATTTCTTTTATTATGTATCTGTTATAGTTATAGTTTGGTTGTTAAGGGTCTACTCGGAGTTGATGTGTTGAAGCCTTGGTCCCCAGCTGATGGTACTTCTAATGAATGATGAAAAGTTTAGGGGCGGGATCTGTGTGGAGGAAGGAGGCCATTGAGAGCATGTGTTTGGCTCTTTGTCTCTGAATATTTGTTTCTCGGTGACCATGTGGCAGTCAGCTTTCATTTCCGCCATGGTTCTGCCACCATACAGTGCTTTAACCCTAAGCCTAACAGCAACAAGACAGAGCAATTGTGGACTCAAACCTCAGAAACCACAGCTCAAACAGACATTTCCTTTTAAGTTGTTTATCTCATTTTATCACAGGGATGGATTGCTGACTAACAGAGTAGCTATTTAGTATTCTCTTCTTCTTCTTCTTCTTCTTCTTCTTCTTCTTCTTCTTCTTCTTCTTCTTCTTCTTCTTCTTCTTCTTCTTCTTCTTCTTCTTCTTCTTCTTCTTCTTCTTCTTCTTCTTCTTCTTCTTCTTCTTCTTCTTCTTCTTCTTCTTCTTCTTCTTCTTCAAAACTTCATTTGATTTTCCTTGAAGGTGAGTGAGTTGATCTCCCATACATTCACTGGACATGTTGAGTTCTCTTTTATGGAATGTTAATCGTTTCATAAGGGGTTTTTTTTTTGGAATTGTTTGTTTTGTTCTTATTTCTCTATTGACACCTTTGCTAATTTCATGCCTCCCCAGTGTCGCCTTCTATCCTGGGGCCTGCCTTGTCCCTCTGTTAATGTTTTCTTAGTTTTACTGTCATGAGTTTATTGTGCATAGTGCTGGGTTCCATAGAGACTATTTCTTGCATGTCTGCCATGTACTTTGACCGTGTTTTCTAGTTAGGGATCTCAAGAGGGAGAGATCTCTCTTATGCCCATTGTGAAAAGAGCCCCAGCAAAGACAGAGGAAGATGGAAAGCGCGTGCACAAAAAAAAGGTCATGATCCAAAGGACGCATGCAGTTCTACAAGCTGAAAAATGCCAGGAGGTGGGTTTCTCTATTTCTGGGAGTAGGAATACACCCTTCTCAACTCCTGCATTTGAACCCATGACACTGAATTAGGCTTCAGACTTCACAACTAGAAGATAACACTGCTGTGCTATTTTAGCAAGGAAGCTGGCAATGATTCATTTCAAGAGTAATAAGAAGCAAATACATATTTCCAGTCCCGTGGTGCCCTAACTTGACTTTCCTATATGGCTTTTCTAATGGCTCCCATTTAATTTTTGAAGTTAAGCTATGTTATTTCAGAGTTGCTTAGACTCCAAAAGTACTTTCTCTTGGAAGGAATGTGATTAAAATCTAAGAGTCGTCTCTAGCTGTGTCAAAAGGAGAAGTTCAAAGAGCATTAAATGCTTATGTAATTTTTTATAAACTGATTAAAGATGCATTTTAAAGAACACACAACTTTAAAGAACACGTAACCCATGAAATAAAGGGAGTTAAGTTTGTGCTAATAGAGTTCAGCCAAAGCCTATATGGGCTGATCTGCTGGGCGTCTAGTTTCCCGTTTCTATGATATTGCTGAATCTATGTGTAAGAAACAAAATTCAGTCCAGTGAGCTCCCTCAGCTGTGTCCTTAAAAATGAAAACCCACTAAACTGGGCTAAGATGTGTCTCTCTCTGAAGATCGATTGCACATAGCCTGCTGGAGACTTTCTAAGTATACACCTGAGAAGAATTGCGTGTCTCCTATGCCGTGAACCCATTAGCATTGTGTAGGTGTGCTATATTGTTCCCAGGGAGGTAAATCTGTCCATTCATGTTTATCTTTTTCCCATAAGAGTGTCAGCGGCTACATTACGAAGTTCTCCATTGTTTATGGAGGTCTGGGGTTTCCTTTGTCAGGTCCATATTCGTATAGATCATTGCTTCTATTGTCTCCTTTTCCCCCTTCCCCCCTCTCCTTTTCTTCACAGTCTTGATACCCCAACTCAGGCTTTCATTTCCCTACACTGATTTGTTTTTCCCTCCTCAAACTCAGGAAGTTACTTTGATTCCTTAGGTGTCCCAGAGATGATAGAAAATCAAAGGCTGGTAGATGACCTTGAGTACTGGGGTCTGTCACTCCTTTATAATTTTTTCTCCCTTAATATTTTCACCCAGAAACAAATTGTCTCTCTATGTCTGAGTGCAAGGGGGAGATTTATTGTGTTTCACGGGGCATGATTTATTCCCGTACGACTATTTGTTATTACTAACAAGAAGTGTGAGAACATAAATAATGACACTTCCATGGCAGGAACAAACTGTTTCCAGGGCAACTGCTCACATCAAAGTCCGGGGACAGCAGCAGGCACAAGTGAATCACCAAAACGGGTTAAAGGGGCCAACCAGTTGCTGGGCCGAGACCGAGAAAATAGAGTTCACATCGTTTTAGTAGGGTTCTGAAAACCATTGCCCATCTTAAGTGGCTAGTGGTGACCCCACTGTGAGCAATGAATGGAAAAGTGCTTTTTGAGCAAAGATGATCTGAAAATGAAAGGAACTGACATTTCCTTTGCCAGAGATGAACCGGAAAGACACATATTTACAGTGCTCAAGCTCCAGTGTTGGAGATAGTTCAACTGAGTTGTGCCTGTGTCTCTGTTTGCTCCAGAATCAGAAAAGCTGGACCCTGGACCTGATTCTACCCATCCCTAGCTATGTGGTAGAGATTGGGCCACTTAGTCTTGGCAGGTAACAACGGCTACTGTGAGTTTCTAAGAGCAACGGCCATGTTGCCAGCAGGAGACAATGTTTCAGAGCACTCTTCTGCATCCTTCCGCCACGATGCTCCTTGACCCTTTGCAGTGGAGTAGGAGAGATCTATAGATGTCGTATTTAGGGCCAAGCGCCCCTAGTCACTCATTGTTCGCACTTGTATAGTGTCCCTACACACTCTTGCCCCATGATGTTCATCCAAGCAGATGAGGCCAAGCAATCATGTACTGAGCCCCCTGAAGCCATGAGTTACAAGACATTCATTAAGTTGCTCTTTCGATGATTTTATTCAGAGTGAAGAAATTCTGATTAATGCACTGGATATAATGCAGTGACTGGCATGACTTAGATCAGAAAACATAACTTAAAAGACAAATGGAAAAAGAATCAAGCATAATATGAAATGTAGAATAAAGAAGATTTTATTAGAATAGCAATGGGTAGTGTCTCTATGGTTGGAGAGACAATATAAAGTTGTCATGATTACTCACAAGATGAGTCATAAAACTGTGAAGACACAACACGTTGA